AAGGGCTTCCATAAGCAACTGTAGTCTTTGCCCGGAACCAGCAATCTATTATTAGTGGCTTTTTTCAAAACTTTGAGGGCATGTCTCAGGAACATGCCCCCACCCCCGTTGCAGACATATTGTAGAGAGTCCAAGAAAAAAACATCTCTTTCAGCCATTATTTTCCTTCCAGGCCTTTGGGTCCCATCTTATCTCCATAGGCACATACCTCCTTTTACCTTCAACAGGGCCTTGGCCAGGATGCTGCCGGCCACACTGACCGCTTGGCACACATAGTAGCCAGCATCCCCACTCTGCACGTCCGTGATGTTGAGCTGGCCTCGGGGGGAGACCGAGAAGCGCCCTGTGGGCTGAAGGGACTGACTGGGGAAAAGCAGCACCTGGGGGCAGAGCAAGGAACCACGGTAGGGATTGAGCAGGCAGCTCCCCGTTCCCGTCGACACCAGAATTCAGAGCGTTCCCAAGGTTCTGATTCATGCTCTGGCCCCAGCCAGTGATGTGACTTTGGGCGAACTAGTTAAACCTATTCACACACAAAAATGAGCAGTGTGATTAGATGCTTTGGGGATGTACCCCCCAGCTCTGTGCGAGCTATTTGAACTTCCTGAGCCCAAATTTCCCCAAATAGGACTCTTAGAGGATAGTTATAAAGAGTAAATGAAGTAATCATATGACACTCTTAATACATTGCGTGATAAATGTTACATACTCTCCCCTTCTTTCTGGCGCTAACATTTTACATTGGATACATACACGGAAAGTAGTGGGGTAGGTGTGGGTCTCAGGACATATATGTAGCCCCATGTTGAGCCCCTGACTCATACCTGCTCCCACCCTCTACCGCCACCAGCACTTTTATTCATTTCAGAATCTAATGGAAACACAGCAGACGCCGATGCTAGAGCAGATGTTGGGGGAAATTGTGGCCGTGGGTTTGGAATGAGGTCATAGTGGCCTGGTTTCCCAGCGGGGGGAGTCCATCAGACTTATTTTGTTATACTGATCTTGTTGTCCAGGAGCAAAATTCCCGCCTTTCCCTTACAGGAAGTTACTTGCGTGGTAACCTCAGTTAATGTTCATTCCAGTTGTATGTTCTGGGATCTGTTTGCTACGATTGCGCGCCCCCTGGTGGGGGCCTCTTAGAACTAGAAAAGCAAGTCATCGCCTACCCTCCGCAGCTTTGCTTATAGAGCTGTTTGCTTTCTGGAGCGATGCATAAAGCCGGGGCCCGAGGGCCTGGGGAAGGAGGGATCTCATTGAATTTGCTGCATCCTCAGGACATCCTTGACCCAAAGAAAAAGATTCCAAGGAATGACTGCACAGGACTGTTCCCTGCCACCTAAATATATTACCATTTATTTTAAAAGTGTTAGCTATGTCTCAGGCCTTTCATATTAATTATCTTATTTAATCCTCACAAACATCCTGCAAGGGCTCCTGGGAGGACCAAAGGTAAAGCGGAACCCTGAGAGCAGTTTGCAGAATGGAGAAGGGGGGCGGGGGGTTGGGCCCGAGGGGAAGCCGGTGGGGAGCCCCTGGCGTGGGCACCTACTTGACTTCCCTCCTTCTGCCAGAAGATGGCAGGTGGCGGGTTTCCTTTGGTCTCGCACTGAAACGTCACGCTCTCTCCAGCGGCTGCCATCTGGTCCTGGGGCTGGGTCACCAGCTGGGGTGGGACTGGCAAGGGGGTGCGGGGGAGATAAAGGAACAGGGAGTCAGGGGCACTAAGAAGGGAGACTGAGGGAACAGGAGAGAGACAGCCAGGCTTGGCTGAGGTCGGAGCAGATTCTCATCCATCTCTTGCTCAAGTCTGTTTCGCTGCCTCCTTCTCTCCCTTGTCCAAGTCTCAGGTGACCCCACATCTCCTGCCTGTCCTTCCCTACGCGGCCCACCCCCCATTTCCCTCACCTCACCCCTGCTGCGGGCAGAACCAAGGGGGGGGCCTCACCGTGAACGCTGAGGGAGCCAGCCGCTTCCACTCGGCCCACGCTGTTCTCCGCCACACAGGTGTACGTCCCCTCATCTTCAGGCCTCACGCGCCCAATCCAAAGGCTGTGGTCATCCCGGATCTCATACCTGCTCCACTCCCCACCCCCAGGCTGGGTTGGCCATAGCTACAGACCACTTCTGTCTCCCCCAGGACAGACACCAGGGACAAGGCAGGCCTCAACAGGGACAGGAGCTCAATGAATGGAGCCGGGGACTGGCTAGGGCAGGGCCACAGGCTCTGGGGAACAGACTTCTCTGTGTGAGAGGGTCTCTGCCTCCCAGTTTTCTAGGGCGGGGTACACACTCGAGCGGGTTGGCTCTCCTCACCTGCCTGTGGGCAGTTCTCCATCCTCCTTTCGCCAGTGTAGCCGAGGCGGGGGATCCCCTTGCACCTCACAGGGGAAATGTGCAGGGGCGTCGGCCAGGACCACCTGACTCACTGGTCTCCGCAGGAATGAGGGGCGCTCTGTGGCGTGGGAGTGAGGGAACAGTCAGGGGTCTGCACGGCTCCATGCTCCCGTAACTCCAAACCTCCGCGTGCCTACCCTGTACCACCAGCTCGGCTGGCCCGCTCTCCCGTTCTCCTGCCATGTTGGAGGCCACACACACGTACATCCCTGCGTCACTCTTGTGTGCGTGTGACATCATCAGCTTCCCTCCACGGATCTGCGGAGGAATCACAGGAACTCTGGTCTTTTACAGCCATCAGAGCATATTTATTTGATTTTCACAACAAACCCAGGAAGAAAACCAGGGACGTTGATCCATTTAGATAAGGGGGTCTGTTGTTTCTCCCAAGGGCCTCTGGGGCACCATGCTCCACCCCCCTATCTTATACCAAGTCCATCCTACCCAGCCTCATTTATCCCTCACTCAACAGCTGGCTCTCTGCCTCTAGCCAACGGATGCCCTGATCTCAGATCTCCTGCCTTATCGCTGCCCGAGCGAGCATTATCCCCCGCCTTCCAAGACCCTGGGATTCAGGCCTTACTCCTCGGAGGCAGGAACCAGACCCCTAGCGCGTGGCCCGCCCCCTGGTGACTGCTGACTCCGCCCCCCTGTTGCATCCCCCTGCCTGGCCCAGCCCTCACCGTGATCCTTCCCTCCTCCTCCTTGACCGGGGTACTGCCCTTCCTCCAGGTCACCGATGGCTCCGGGTGGCCGCGGGGGGGCACGCATTCCATCACAGCTGGCTCCCCGACTGCCACCACTACGTTCCCGGGAGACTGCCGGAAATCGTCGCGAAGGACTAGAGAGAGAAAGAGAGAGAGAGACTATGAATACATATATGACTATGACCTTCTGCCCCGCGGCAGGTGAGAAAATACCAGGCCCAGGCGTGGGCATGAGAGACCAAAGGCGCAGTCCCAACGGAAGATGAATCGCCCGAGATGGGAGCTGGTTCTAGACAGGGCGGCCCGCGCCCTCCCGCACCCCAGACCCCAGAGCCGCTGGCTGACTCCCCCACCTCACCCGCCACTTCCAGCGAGGCGTTCCTGCTGGCCGCCGCCCCCAGGTAATTGCGCGCCACGCACGTGTAGACGCCCTCGTCGGGGCGCGCGCGGCGCCCGTGCACGATTCGCGGGAAGAAGAGGGCGCCGCTGGGCAGCAGCAGGCGGTGGGCGCGCGGGTCCTCGCGCGCGGTGGCCACGCGCGCCCCGTTCTTGTACCACTCGATATGGGGCCGGGGCCGGCCCTCCGCGCGGCAGGGCAGCGTGGCCGGTTCGCCTCGGGACACCAGCAGATCCGGCGGCTGCTCCACGATGCGCGGCATCGCGTCCTCGGGCCCGACCCTTGACCCTGGAGGATGGGAGGGGCGCAGAGCGCTCAGACCGGCAAGTTGGGGAAAGATGGAAGCTCCAGAGAGAAAAGGGGGCCCCCGCCTCTCTCCGTAAGGGGGGGGTACCTCCTTCTGGGAAGACGCCCCAGGCTCTTAAACTCGAAACGGGCAGATCAGCCAAGGGATCAAGACACCCTCCTCCTCCCCTCAGCCTGGGGTCCCCCGGGACGAGGAAGGCTTGAGTGATGGGCGCGGCCTGGGAGCCCAGAACCTGGCACAGAGCCCGTCTACTGGCACCCCAATCATGTTTCGGGGTCCTGGGAAGCCACCGGAATTGACCCAATGCGAGCGGTAGTGGGAATGTGAGTGACGCTCCTTTCTGAGCGGGCACAGGTTTCGGCAGATGGTTCTCAGGGTGATGAAAGGCCACGCATCATTGAGAAAGGCATTGCTCTCCTTCCCTGGGTCCCTCTGATCCGACCACTGCGTGCTCTGCTCCTGCCCCTCCCTGGGCCCGCTGACTTCTGCTCGCTTCGCCTCTGCGGTGGTTTGGGATCCAGGAGCCCGGAGCCCCGAGCGCGTCAGGCTCAGATACCCCAGCTCCATCCAAAGTGGCTTCGTGACCCCTGGCGGCCAGCAGGCGCCGCTGCCGCCTCACGGCATCTGTGCCCTTCACGAACCAGAACCCATGGAACCGGCTTCTGTTCTCCACCTCCCCGCCCCTGTCCGCTTCTCCACGCCATTCCAGAATCCGCGGGACCTCTACTTCCAGCCTCGGTGTGAGCGTGGCTGTCACTTCCCGCCCTACTCTTGGAAGTTCCGACGGAGAGGACGCGGGATGGGTTGCCCCTGGGGAGCGTGTATTTAAGGGGTCGGGGACAAGAAGATCGGTTTCCTTCCCACTTGGAGAAGGGAATCATTTTCTCCATTTCCCTTCTAGATGGAAACTTCCGATTCTCACCCCATTCCCCGCCATCCCATCCCAGGCCCAGTTTAGGCAAACCCCAGGCCCAGTTCAGGTGAGCAGCACTGGAATGACAAAGAGCTCAAGGATTGGCTGGAACAAACTAGGGCGGGAGTCTCAGGTCTCCACACTAACTCCTGTGAGAACTTGGGCAACTATTGAACTTCTCTGCGTCTCAGCTTCTTTATAGTAATAAAGAACAGTAACCCCTAACCGGTTTGGCTCAGTGGATAGAGCGTCGGCCTGCGGACTCAAGGGTTCGATTCCGGCCAAGGGCATGTACCTTGGTTGCGGGCACATCCCCAGTAGGGACTGTGCAGGAGGCAATGTTTCTAACTCTCTATCCCTCTCCCTTCCTCTCTGTAAAAAAAAAAAATCAATAATATATATATTTAAAAAGAACAGTAATAGGGTCATCATAAGACCATCATGTACCCCCCCAAACGCACTCAATAAATACGGCTGGTCTAAGATTATTTCGGGGCTCTTCTCCCTCACCCACCTGACCTTACCGTGGCTACTATAGTCTTTACCTGAATCGGATTCTACCCGGCCCCAGCATTCCCCTTTGCCCTTCACAGAACGTCATGGGAATAGGCAGGTCTCTTATAGCCACGCTTTGTGCTGTTTCTGTGCCCACTGGGGTACCGTCTATCTTCTCTGAATTTGCTTTCTCCACTGCGAACATGACTATCAATTCCTCCCCTACAAACCTCCCTGGGACAGTGTCGAGTGAACGCCCTGGGTGAGGTGAGAGCGTTGAGGTGTCTGTGGGAAGGGCTCTGTGCTTAGCCTCCTGGGGATCCGGGAGGTCAGCAGGTTGGAGAATTCCAGCTCATTCCCCATCTTCCTCCCTGCTCCCTCCGTGCAGGGCTCACCTTGCTGGTCCGCCCTTTCCCCCTAATTCCTGTAGACACATCTGCAGGCTCCCTTTCCCTGGAATTTCCTCCCTGTCATTTGGGGTCTCAGGAGAGGCTTCCACAGAAGCTAATGAATAGCTAAGGGTCATGCTAATGGGGCTCTGGGGCTTCTTCCCAGCACCTGAGTACACACGCACACACGCGCGCGGGCACACACACACACACACACACACACACACACACACACCACTGCCCAGGTCTCCTTTCTCGCCGCTTTGGGGTCTCCAGCGCAGCGCTCGCCCCAGATTCCAGCTGGCGGAGGCGAGCGGACCCCGGCTAGGGGAAGAACCAGAGGGAACCCCGGCCCAAGTGCCAGGGAACGCGGGAGTTCCCGACGCGGCCGGCAGGGGGCGAGCTCGGCCATCCCCTGAAACGGTCGCCGCCTCTGTCGAGCTCTGTAGCAAACACATGCAACATTTCGGCTTCCTCGCCCTGGTCCTAAGTGTAGAGTTCTTGGCAAACTTGGGTTCCCGGTGGGAAGCCTGCTACCTGGGCGGGTCACTAAGTGGCCCCGCGGCCACGCCCCTCCGCTGTCCTCCCCGCAGGGGGTCCCGGCCTCTCCTAGCTCCAACTTGCCCGCACCCACCCCTATTTCTGCCTGGGGTGGCCTGGGGTCGCCTGGGGAGGTGGGGTGTAATGGACTCAGCAACCATCTCCCCCCAAACCCTCGTCCTCCGCCGGGACACCCCCTCAGGTGCTCAAAGCCCCATATCATCCCTTGATCCCCGCCCAGGGAGGCGCTGGAAGCGCCCCTGGGTCTCCACGAGGGGCAGGCGCTCTTGGTCTCCTCCTCCACGCCGCCCTCCCACCTTGCCCCCACTCGGGATCCCACGTCCCCACGGGGCAGGGGCTTACCGTTGAGAGCAGGCTCGCCCGGGGCCAGCAGGCTGTGGTTGAGCGCCGCCCCCGAGGCGTTGAAGCCGAAGAGCAGTTCGCTGGAGTTGGACGCGTC